TAGTGATGGGCATAATCGAATGATTTCGATAATCGAATGATTAGTAATCGAGACATTTTCATAATCGAGTGAATCTCTCGAAAAATCACTCGAAGTTAAAATCGTCTGCTCGTATGATAAGAATAATCAACTATTATTATTTATCGAGAGAATCGAAAAATTATTCGAAATATGAATAAATATACCTATAGTAAATAATTATTAATTTAATTTTGCTTTTTTTATTTGTTGGTGTTTATTTATAATTATTATATTAAACTATAATTTAGGAATAATAATAACAATAATATATTAATAATGCATTATTAATAAGTGCTTTAAATAAAAGACAAGTTGTTATTTTTATTATTTAATAATTATTACCTATATTTTAAAAAAACCGATAACAAATTTAAAAATAAAAACATAAGATAAGGTAGCAATAGCCGTCTTGACCATCATAATTAAAATACCTTATTCCACACCTAATTGATTTTTCATAAATTCACAACTAGTGAGAGAATCAGAACTCAGTAGTTTAGCCAGTTCAGGACAAAACTTTGTTCTAATCGTCACATACTTCCCAAAAATGTGACAGATAAGGTGTTGTCATGAGTAGCGATTGAACGAGTTGAAAATAAGAAGACTCGAAGTCAACAATTTAATAATAATTCGACTATAATTTATGCTAAATAAAAACTTAAAAATAGTATTCTCTCGTTTCATCGTTTCATGGACATCATTCGAAATAACTTTTATTCGATTATATACATTTCAAGATCAAGAAATCATTGTTTTTATAATAAACGAGAAATCATTAGAAATAATCACTCGATTATAGAATAATCAATATTATTTAAAAAATCAGAATATCTCGATTATATAATAGATATGATTTCAATAATCGAAATATCTCGATTATTTTCATAATCGAGATATCTCGATTATATATCTCGATTATGCCCATCACTAATTTTAATACAATATCGAAATTAAATAGTTCAATATATCCTAATAATAAAATTATCATCAAAATGATTTTTTGTGGTTTTCTAAAATTTTATATAGTTATGCCAAAATATTATACTGTTTTCTCGTTCAAAAATGATAATTGATTACACCTATGGATGATCCATCAGATTAGATTTAATAAAAAGATGTTAATTAATTTCTTATATAAAATATTTATAATAGCATTATCTGACAGTTAAAATTCATTTAAGCTTCCATGTGAGGCTGAGAAGGTATTAATTTTATTATGATGTGTTTTTTTTTGTTTGTTACACCACTTTTACTCAGCTCTCACCGAACAACGTTACATCAAAAAATCTCAAATCGTATCGTAAAAATACTCGATTCTATTCAATTTTTTAAAAATAACACCATTTCCCTTTATATATATTAGGGTGACCCTTAGCTACATGAGAGGTTTTTTTTTTTTTAATATTTGCTAGTGCCATCCCCTAGACTTATTCGAATACATGAAAAAATAAATTGTACAAAATTTGGAGACGATTGGTCAACTCTAAGACGTGCCCCAAGGGGGTTAAAAATAACCCCCCAAGGGTGATTTTTTAGTTTTTTATGTCTATCTCAAAAACTTTAGCTTTTGCGAAAAAGTTTATTAGACCTTTTTTGTAGGTATACAATTTTTCTATAAAAAATATATATACAAAAATTTTCGAAAAGTTCTTATTTAGCCCTAAAAAAATAAAAACGTATATGTTTTATTCTTACCGTTAAAACTGTTAATTTATAAATCGTTCATTATAAAAACATAAAAAAAATTCATTTAACCGTTGTTTTAAATTTAATTTTCTATACATTTTTAATTCGGCATTTTTTCTATTATTTACTATTCAAAACCTACATTTTTTTTTAATTTTAATTAAAAAAAATACATCAAAGTAAAATTAATACCGTCTCAGTTTCACATTGAAGCTAAAATAATGTTCACTTACAAATTTATATACAACCAGAAACTATTTACAAAGAAAAAACATACTAAAAAAATTTACTACATATTTTAAATATTTTATCTTTTTTAAAATTCTTGGCAATAAATGTGTATTTATTGCAATTAGGAAAACAAAGCCGGTATTCTGTAACAATCTATAATAGGTATTATTTTTGTGCTTCGACTTTTGTTAAAATATTATTATACTCTTCTATGAATTTCACGCCCCTCTCTGCCAAATCATTTATCACTTTTAAAATATTTACTATTATTTTTTCTCCGATATATATTGACTGTTGTCTTTCCACAACAAAGGATTGATATTTAAAAAATCTGTTTCAATGTCATATCTTTCAAACAACTTTTTTGACTCAGTTGAAATAAAATCATCTATACTTTTATTTTTAAAATCATAAATTTCATTTACTTCTACTACTATACGTTTGTTTGTACATAGATCTTCTTCCCAATTATTTAATGAGTTTACTATTTTAATTTTAGTATCTTCACATAAATCATCATCAAAAAAAGCCAATGCTGCCCATTCGGATACTAATTACCATAAGTGACCCGAAATTTTTTTTTAAAACTACTTTAGAAATATCTTTATCTATTGGTTCATAATCAATTATATTTTTAATAAATTGTAAATCTAAATTTGGCGCTAATGCAGCATTGGTGCACTAAACCATTGTTTAATATATAAACTTGTAATAAAAATACATAATGAACGAATATTTAACTCTTTGATTGACAATTCAAATTGGCCCCGAAACATAAAATGTTCAAACAATAAATGGCCTTGGCCATCCAACAAGCATAATGGATTGGGCCAGGAATTTTAAAATAAATTCCATGCAAATGTTAGGGCGTTATATATTATACTTACCATGCAGACATCACATTTATGAAATTATATTGAAAAGTGTTTTTGAAGTAAAATTTAATACGTCATCCGAACCAGATGTTCCTATTTTTAATAAATTCCAAAAGTCTTGGCAAAAAATAATTAAAACAAATTACTTAAGTGGAATAGAAGATACTGTTATTTTAGAAAAGTTAAAAACAAAAAAAGACGATATTTTGAAATTTAGTTTTAAACAATTAAAAAATACCAACCTCGAGGAACTTTTAGAATTGGTCATAATATTTTTTGGTGAAACAGCTTTACATAGAATTTATTTTAAAATTCCTGGCCCAATCCATCATGCTCGTTGGATGGCTAAGGCCATTTATTGTTTGAAATTTTTTTTTGTTTCGCGGCTAATTTGAATTGTCAATCAAAAAGTTAATTATTTAAATAATATTCGTTCATTATATATTTTTATTACAAGTTTATATAGTTTCTGGTTGTATATAAATTTGTAAGTGAACATTATTTTAGCTTCAATGTGAAACTGAGACGGTATTAATTTTACTTTGATGTATTTTTTTTAATTAAAATTAAAAAAAATTGTAGGTTTTGAATAGTAAATAATAGAAAAAATGCCGAATTAAAAATGTATAGAAAATTCAATTTAAAACAACGGTTAAATGAATTTTTTTTATGTTTTTATAATGAACGATTTATAAATTAACAGTTTTAACGGTAAGAATAAAACATACACGTTGTTCAGTAAGTCAGGAAACGGGTTTCTATTGTTCTCATTGTTTGTAACAATGAGAACAATAGAAACCCGTTTCCTGACTTACTAAACACTCTGTATACGTTTTTATTTTTTTAGGGCTAAATAAGAACTTTTCGAAAATTTTTGTATATATACTTTTTATAGAAAAATTGTATACCTACATAAAAGGTCGAATAAACTTTTTCGCAAAAGCTAAAGTTTTTGAGATAGACATAAAAAACTAAAAAATCACCCTTGGTGGGTTATTTTTAACCCCCTTGGGGCACGTCTTAGAGTTGACCAATCGTCTCCAAATTTTGTACAATTTATTTTTTCATGTATTCGAATAATTCTAGGGGGTGGCACTTTGTAGTTTTTAAATTTTATAAATAAGGGACACCCTAATATATATATATTACACTTATAAATCATAAAACTTGTAATCAGGATATAAATAAGGAAATAGGAGTTCATTTTGCTTTTGGAATAATCTACCAATTTCCTTAAATTACAGATTTTCATAGAAGCGTTTCTTATGATAGTGATTTTAATCACTGTCAGATATCATTATACTTGACCCAACTATGCCACCTCCCCACTTTGCAGGGATTTTTTTTAATTTATTTAAGTAATTCTAATTTATACTTTCTAAAAACAAAAAATGATACGATTTTCGATAAAATTTGACGATTTTGTGGTGTTTTGATAATAACAGAATACTCATAACATTTTGAATTATTTCAAATTAATGTTTAATGCAATATATTAATGATAGAAAAATATTATGTTGACTTAACCTCTATAAGTAATTGGCCTCTTAAGTAAAATATCATGTGATTTTTCTAATTTATTTCAAATACGCATCCAAGACTATCAATTATCAGTCAATATTGATCTAAAAAATGCCGCATCCATTCCACTTTGCTGAAACCTTAATGTACTTTACTTTTTTATACTAGATTTCAGCCAATTAAAAACATTCTTTACTAAAAATAAAAAAAAAACTATTCGATAGGCACTATAATATTATTATAGTCGGGTAAAGCTAATGTTAAAAAAATAATCAGCTAGTTAAATAGTTAAATAGGTTTTCCCAATTAAATATTTTACAAGAATTCATATAACCATAATTTTTGTTTTATTAACAATTGTCTGATTAAAGTAGAATATTATGAAAATATGCTTCATAGCGATAAATATATTTACTAGACCCATTTAGATCAAAAATATATTTTTAATAGAAAAATCTGTCTTTACTTGGTATTCTTTATTGATTTTATTATGTAAAACAAACGTTATATTCGTTCGAATCAGGATTCTGTGAAACAAGTAAACCTGAAAAACTAACTGAACTAATAAATAGTTGTTTTGAACTATACACTAAATTGAACTGTGAACTAATGAACTTTTCAATTGAATGAGCTAAATTTACCATCTCTAATTTAAATAAAAAATAAAGGATAAAATATTTGAGAGTCCTGTAGTCGATAGTTCAATTTTTTAATAACTAAATATTATTAAAAAACATTCGTTTCTGTCGATAGTTTTTGAAAACAATCAGAATGTGAATCAATAGTTTTACACTAACAACATTTTGATAATACTAATTTATTTAATAGGCCATCAAATTTTTTGCAATCATAATGAAATTTATCGTTCCTTTAAAACTACAAATCTGCATATTTTGTTCGAAAAAAAAACTAGTTAATTAACTGCAACGTTTTATTATCCCTAATAGTTATAATAGTACGTAAACTTTAAAATTTTAGTTATAAATATATGACAATTTTTATACTTCTATCGATTTACAGAAATGTTATTTTTGGTTTAATTGTGGTTATTTTTTCAAGCATATAGATACCACAGTACAGTAAAATTTTATCAACGACAATGATGAACGTAACGGATTGATAACGTCAGATGAGTGATAAAATGATATGAGTTGTCTAACATTTTACAAATTTTTTTTTTTAAATTGTGAAAATATTATTAAAAAATGTTGATTTGTAATGAAATTTCGAATTGTTCAATTATTAATTTTTATTAATTCATTTGTAACTGAGAATGTTTCTATTCATCAAATAATATTATTTTTTTTATTATGTGTTTTTAACATCGATAATTTAATTGAACTCTTAATAAAAATTAAGCTAAAATCAAATTCGATTGTCAAAAATGGTAAACACTATCAGTAATTTTCATTCTACCCCTGGAAGTGCTAGTACTGATAATGTGATGCCACCACATTATTTACATGAACTACCAAATGAAGATGAATTGCGTTTAGCAAAACTCTTTGAATCGTTAGATCTCGATAGAAATGGTAAAATTGATATTCATGATCTGTCCATTGCTTTACATGATAAGGAGTATGCACAAGTAAATATCAATCAATATTTTTATGATTTATTTTTTGTATGGTTATTCAAGAAAATATTTTGTATAGAAATTCTTAGAAATGTCTGATGCTACAAAATGTGGTTCAATAACATTAGCAGAATTTATTCATTATGTAAAGGAACATGAAAAATCATTAAGGCTCAGTTTCTCAAATATTGATAAAAATAAGGATGGTAAGTCTATTAAAAATTGAGTTTTATATAAATATTTTTATCATAATTGAAGTTAATTTGTTAGTATTCAATATTTATAAAAATTTTCTTAAAAATTATGAAATATATGTAACTTCTAGTAATTATTATACAAATTATATTTTTTATTAACTTTTAAGCTTGTTTTAATAAAAAAATATTATTATAAAGAATTGGGTATGAATAGGTCATTTAAAATAATTGTTAAAGTATTAGAAGCTTAGATTTTTTTATAAAATGTTTAATCAAAACTAGTATTTGTTGCATTAGATAAATCGTTGAAATATTTAAAATAAATAGTAAACGTTGTAATTAATAAACTATAACATTTAAGTAGAACATAGCAATATTATATTTATTAATCAATTATTACTTGTTTGGGATGAGTATCATAGGCAAATATTTGGTGAAATTTTAATTGAAAGAATAGAATAATCTTGTAAAGAAAAACATATCATGCTTTTACAGGGGAACTAACATACAATAACAATACAATTATTTCTATTGAAATTTCAAGGGTGTTGACCTATAATATATATTTTTAAAACCCAAATTTTATATAAAGGTATTTCAAAGCACATTTTTTTTTACAAATGTAAAGCTATATGTAACTAAAATATTTGAAAAAAAATTAATATTTATGTTAATAATCTTTTAGTTATCTTATAAAATATTACTATGCTTATTTAAGTTAATGTTATAATACTCTATAAAAGAAAAATGTAAAAATGACAATCTCAAAATTATTCATTTTTTTATAGAATAATTAAGCGTTAAATTCAAAAAAAAATTCATTAATGAAAAATATATTTTTTTAAATTAATTTGTTTACTCTCAATTTGTAATCTTTACAAACTAGTTTTATTAAAATGTTATATAAATTAAGTGACTTGCTATAATAACTAGTAATTAATCGCTATAAAAATTGTAAAACTTCACTTTTACAATTTTTAAGTAGTTAATTAATTAAAGAAAATTATAAATTAAGAAGTTAATTATTAAATTTACTTTAAAAAAAAATTGTTTTGATAGATAAGTAAACAAATAGTGTAATCCCTTAAAAAAAAATTCACTTTAAGACAATTTGTTTTATTTTTAATATTATTTTTATTGGGCTTGTAACACATGACACTCATAACTAAAAACAATTATTTCTTTATATTAATTAATATGAAAATATTGTTTGTTTTAGGTAAAATTGATCAAGAAGAATTAATTAGAGCCTTTCAGGAATTAGGAATTGAGGTTGATGATGCTGAAGCTTTAAAACTCCTTAAAAGGCAAGTACAATTTTGTTGAGGCATTTTTAATCAGACCAGTCACATATCCAAATAAGAAACTATGTCCCTTTTAGTCAACCATTTCTTTTCATAATAGTTAACCTACATTTTAGGTAAAAATTATTTGGGTGATAGCTTACCCCATTGCAAAAACCTGGTTACGCCACTAAATCAAAATAAAATAATTTGAAATTATTTATTTCTAGTAAATCTTATTTGGTAATTGCTTTTATGCTTTAGGATGGATACAGATGGTAGCTTAGAAATAAGTTTTGAAGAATGGCGAGATTTTCTATTATATTGCCCTTTTACTGATTTACATGAACTTATAAAATATTGGCGGCACTCAACAGTAAGTATATGTTAAAAGTAGATTTAAATTAGGTTTCTATTAGATGTAATAGTAATTACACTATTTTGAGACTTATTTAAATTTCACTTCGATACATTACTTTTCATCAACATCATATTTTAAAAAATAACAAATGCAATGTGAGCAATTGTCCTAGAAAACAACTAAAGTTTGATTTACAATGTCATAATAATGTGAGACCTGCGTAAATACCATATAAACTTTTGCGAGGCTGTAAAAAAAAAAGCTTAAGCCCAATCGATAAGGACTTTTAGTATGTCATTATACATATCTTAATTCAACTTTTTAAAAAAAAATAATTTGGTTTGGAATTTTTTCCGCCATTTTTCCTTCGTTGACTGGCCTATCTATGGACATTAAAATAGGTGCTACGGATAACGCACATCCACGCAAGAGCATGTCAAATTAACAGCTACTGTTTAAAAACCATAAGTTTGAACGTACAAAACTACCGGTTTTTGTTCCATAAGTGCAACGAAACTATTGATGCGAATTCTGAAAACATATCTGAATTTAGCATCATATTTTTTTTAATATCGGTCAGGCCACTTTTTTGAAATTGTTATTCTTTCAATGCAAAATTTTTAAACTATACTCAAGAGCTAAAAACATCAAAATTCCAAAATAATGGCCTGATCGATACTTAAGTGACATAATTCTGAATTCAGGTTTATTTTCAGAACTCTTATCACATCACTAGTTTTGTCGTACTGATAGAACAAAAATTGGTTGTTTTTGACTAAAAAGCAGTCGGTACCCAAACGCCTTAAAACGTTGTTATAAATTAGGTCTATAGAGATATCATAAAAAAAATGACCAGAAATTATAAAAAAAATTTAAGAAAACCTTTAATAATTTTAACGATATATACATCTATATTATCTGTATTGCCAAATGATTTATTTATAAATGTTAACTCAAAACAATGTGTTTTACAACTAATTTGAAACTTTAAATTTTTATATCTAATAAAGGAATAGTTATGTTAAAAAATCAAATGCTATTTACTAAAAATTATTTTTATTAAAAAAAAAAAAAGGTATCAAGTTTACCGTGACATTGTAAAATAATATTCTGGTGCATTGAAATTCATTGAGATTACTCTAATTTTGACGACCATCCGTCACGAAACTTTACCATGCTCATTTATTAATAGTAACCTTGGTAACTGTTTAAGTTAAATGATTATAACTAACTATAAAAATTTAAAAACATAGTTTTTTTATTTTTAAATTCATCAAAATGTTTCTATTGGTCAAGAACCATAAAATAATTTTTTATTTTATTTTAAACAGTTACGAAAATTAAAAAAGCTCATATTTTTGAACTTTTGCGAGGCTGTAAAAAAAAAATCTCAAGTCCAATCGATGAGGACTTTTAGTATATCATTATAAATATCTTAATTCAACTTTAAAAAAAAAAAAAATTGGTTGTGAATTTTTTCCGCCATTTGCCAAAATTACTCCTTCGTTGACTGGCCTAAGAGTTACGTAGAGCAATACCGACTGCCTAAAAATAGTTACAAATTAATACATACTTGATATTACACCTGTATATATAATATTTGATTATTTGATTTTATCCAATTACCGACAAAGCTATCATTGCACAGTACAAAACAACTTTTGTTGTTATTTTCAATATAAGTGTCGCTAAAGAGATGGGGAATCATAATACAATATCGCTTTAAAAAAAAATAAAATAAAGAGTTAATTTATTAACATTAAATAAGTGGCGCAAAAAAATGTCTGGTGAGATACGTGTACATAAAAATAATTTTCTTAGCTTCAATAGAAAACTGAGAAGGTATTAGTTTTACTATGGTGTGTTTTTTGCTTGTGTCTATCCATATCTGTACTTACTGGACTGTTATTGTTCAATGATACACCAAAAAATCAAAAAATACATTTTTTTGATGTATTCGGCATTATATTTTAATAATTTCCCTTTAAAACAGACTCAATAACGTGTTTTTTTGAGTAGCACATTATGTTATCAACCTAGATCTAACGCCAAGTAATTTTATTTCAACACATTTGTAAATTGCTTGATCATAAGATATATAAATCTCTTACATTAATTATAAAATGAATTTTAAACTACATCTAATAAAAAAAAATAAATCATTTTTTATGATTATCAAAAGCTGATCAGACATGTATGATGATGAGATATAACCTATATTGAGTATAATACGAGATAAAGCAGTAACCGCATACAACTATGGACCAAGTTACAACAGCTTTTTACATAAAAATGTCACAAAATTCAGTCCAGGATTTTATACAAAAAAATGTATCCATAAAGCTATAAATGAACGAAATAAACATATTAGAAGAAGATAAATTTTGAGCCAATTCGGACATATGTAACATAAAAAATGGTAGCACAGTGGGGTCGAGTCACAGTATGAACGTGGCATAGTTGGGACAACTATAGATGATATCTGACAGTGATTAAAATAACTATCATAAGAATCGCTTCGATGCAAATCTGTAGATAGTGTTTAATTTTAAGAAATTGGTAGATTATTTCAAAAACAACAATAACACTTATTCCCTTAATTTTATCCCGATTTATAATTATAATATATGAATACATAATAATTACAGTAATTAAACTTAGTATGAAATTGATATTCAATAATATAATATTGTAATTTTTACGGATACTATAAAAATAAAAAGGAGTTGTATATTCATATACTTTTAATGCGTATAAAAATTTAAAGGGATTGATACAATACTTTTTAATAAAAAAATGTTGTTACTTATGAATAAATACACTAAACTAAAAGGAACTTTCATCAGATACAAAAATATAATTTTCGCGATGTTTTCAAATGTGCGATTAAACTTTTTCTATTACTTCTAAGTTTTAATATTATTACTTATTATTAAAAAATAAGTATTTACATATAAAAAAAAATAACACACCCAGCACAGTGGTGACGTAACATAGTTGGATCAAGAATAATGATATCTGATAGTGATTAAAATCACAATAAAAAAAAAACGCTTCGATGCAAATCTTTAGATAGTGTTTAATTTAAAAAAATTGTTGGATTATTCCAAAAGCTACATGATCTGCTAGTTCCTTATTAAGATAAAGTATGTCGAATGAAATAGGAATTATTAAAAAATATTATTTCTCATAAAAAAATTGTATTAATCCATACATTTTTCAACAAGTTATAGTATAATGAAGTTTAAAATGTAAAACATAAAATCGAGAATTTTCACACAAAAATAGCATCGGTAGCCATTTTCACCATGAAGACAAGTCCAGAGGTCAAATTTTTTTTTTCCATAATAAAGTATATTACATTAGCTTTAATTTAAGATGCTAATTTATTAATAGTAACCTTGGTAACTGTTTAAGTTAAATGATTATTTAATTATTTTTCTCACTTTTTGATATCTCATTAAAACAAAAATTATAAAAATTTTTCCTAGTTATATAATATGAAATAATAATATTATGATTATTGCTAAATTTGTTTAACGTAATATTACAATTATATCAACCAAAACAAAGAAATAATACTTAAGTATTGCTTATTGGATTGTATGAGTGCCCCCGCCAGCTGACAATGAGCCATCATTCAATATAGTTTTTGAACAAAGTATTATAACTTAGTGTACGCTAGTCTTTTACGATGGATTGTAGTTAAAGTGAATTAGTTTGGTTTGTATGTTGATGTAGGTTATTCAAATTCCACCAACATGACTACGAATTATTTGATAACACTCAAATATTCTCCTATAAAATTTAATGAGTTAAATATTTGTAGTATTGACGATAATTGCCTTACGTGTTGTGATATTTTTAATTCCTATGTTGATTTATATAAAGAAATGGTTTCTGTTGACGTAAGTACCCGCCAAAAATATTAGAAAAATGTAGTAATTTTACTTATACTATAAATGTTTTTGAGATAATTTTCACAACTTAATTAAATCGGCCCATTAAGCATAACATTATTTTTTTAAAGTTTTTCATCATTTATTGTGTTTCTTTTGATTGAATTTTCTGTCAAAACAAAAATATTTATAAATGTTAACAGTAGTATAGTGTTAAAGTTGAATAATATGTTAATGGATTTATTCTGTTACTCATTGGGACTTTGATCATCGATTTCATAACTATTTATTATCTGGAGACTAAAACTCTTCCTAGTTTGTTATTTATTTTATTATTATACCTTTTATCAATGCCTAATAAAGTAATTAGTTCTCAATTATCTCGTAGAATAATGATTCACATTCTTCAAAAAGTTCAATTTTGTTTCCCAATATGAAGTATAAATTATATAAATACTAAACGAAAATTATATTTAATAAACGTAGTTTCGATAATAAAATATTAGTGTTAGTCTAAAATCCTGAAGTTCTTGTATGTATCTATAACTGTTAATTCCCTCAAAAAATACTTAAATCAGATTCGGATGTTAAAATTTAAAAATCAAATAATGAATGATATTAACTTTTATAATTCATACTAGAGTTTTAAGAAAAATGACAGTTAAAACTCGTTGCCAAATTCTGAATTTGTACAAAACTTAAGCCTTATAATTAAACTTATTAAGGAAAAAGATAATTTATATATTTTTTATCACGAATTAACTAGATTAGACTTTTAATTAAGTTTGGCTTAATTATGATTTTGACTATAGTTTAAATATAATGTTAAAGAAGCACTTGACAGGTATCTGTAAATTAAGACTGCGTTAAAATTTATTGCAAGGACAAAATCTAATTTGTTTAGTACAAATAATATATATTGTGTTTTTAATACGATTGAATTTGTTTATAATCTCTTTACTATATTTATTTATGTAAATTACTATGTGACTCTTACTATAAATTAATAGTTAGAAATTATGTGACTTTATGTTAAGTTTGTAAAGACACCATCTTGAAATTTTCTTCTTCTTCTTCAGCTTTTACAGTCCTTGAAGGACTTTCGCTGCCTCTACTACATTCCTCCACCTATCTCTATCAACACTGTCTGCTATCATCACTTCCTGGTTGCATTTGTTAAGATCATCATTGACCCTGTCTATCCAGCGCTGTCTTGGATGGCCCCTAGGTCTTTTCCCATTTATTTTTCCCTCTAGTGCTTTCTTTAAAATTCCATTTGACCTTCATACATGCTCTGGCCACTCAATTCGTTTGCTCATGAGGAAAGCGTTAATACCAGGTTTTTGATAAATTTGTTGTATTTCTCTATTAGTTCTTCTGTACACTTCATTTTCTAAAATAGGTCCATATATCCTTCTGGGTACTTTTCTTTCAAAACAAGCCATTTTTTCCTCATCTCCTTTAGTGGTTGACCATGTTTCACACGCATATGTTAACACTGGCCGTAGGAAGCTTGAGTATAGTCGTTCTTTTGATCGCCTAGAAAGAAGTTTTGATTTAAATAATTTTTCTAAAGCATAGTAACCCTTGTTAGCGGCAGATATCCTTATTTTAATTTCGTTGTGCATATTATTTTGTTGGTTTATGTTTACCCTAAGATATTTAAAATCACTCACTTGTTGAAAAGTATAGTTTTCAACTACTAGGTGAGAGTTATCCCTTGTTCCTCTCGTCATGACTAAATATTTTGTTTTGCCCTGGTTTATTTCCAGGCCCATTGGCTTTGCTGCTTTAATTAAATCATTTGTTCTTGTCGCTACTTCTTGTCGGGTATTTCCTATAATATCTATGTCGTCTGCATAGGCAAGGAGCGTACTTTTGAACAGAATCTCCATGCCTTGACTCGTTGGCATTGACCTGACCACCTTTTCAAGCGCCAAATTAAAAAGGACTGGCAATAGTGCATCATTCTGTTTAAGGCCAGTTTTAACTTCAAAGCTCTCCGATAAACCGTTGCCAAACTTTACCTTGCACAAGGTATGTGTGTAGCATTCTCTTATCAGATGAATAAGTTTTTTTGGGATTCCAAATTCCTCTAGTGTCATCCACAGTTTCTCTCGATTAATACTGTCGTATGCTTGTCTGAAATCTATAAAACACATGTGGATATCCTTTCCAAATTCATAAAATTTTTCCATTATTTGTCTTATAGTGAATATATGATCAGAGGTGGACTTTCCTCTTATAAATCCAGTTTGATAGTCTCCAATTATATCTTTGGAGTATACTTCCAACCTTCGTAGTATCGTCAGGGATAGAATTTTGTAGCAGGAGTCTAATAGTGCGATTCCCCTATAATTACCTGTGTCCATGGGATCACCCTTCTTGAAAATGGGACAAATGATGGCTGTTTTCCAATCTTCAGGTATACGATTGGTATTCCATATTTCTTTTAAAAGTCCATGTATTTTATTTACAAGTTGTTTAGTACCGATCTTTAATAACTCAGAATTAATATTATCCTCTCCGGGGGCTTTGTTGTTTTTTAAAATCCCGATAAGATCCTCGACTTCTTTATAGCTTGGTTCCTCAAGGAGAGGTTGTGCCGTATGATACATCACATATTCATCTTCATTCGTATCATCGTGGTCAATGTTTAAAATATTCTCAAAGTGCTTTTGAAACTTTTGGATAATACCCTCTTCATTCTTAATCAAGTTTCCATCGTGGTCCTTGTTATACGGGTTTGAGCTTTAAAACCTTCCTTTATTGATCTGCATTTTTTAAAGAATAATCTTGGGTTGAGCCAATGTTCTATTTTTTAGATAAGTTCTTTTTCCGCTGCTCTTTTTTCCTGTCTCAATATTTTACTTGCTATTTTTTTGTTTTTAATAAATTCTTCTGTATTATTAGGAGATGGGTATTGTATCATTGAAATTTTATATCTTATATATATCTTGAAATTTTGGTCAATGATTTATTGTATGTATTCCATAATGTGGCATTTTTTCAGAATTTTAAATTGCGGTTTATTTTTATTGTAAATTTAAATTTCAACATTAAAAAATTTAAACTTTTGAGATGGTTTATTCATTTATATATTTTCTAGAGAAATAGACATAATATAAAAAACAAAAGTGAAAACTAGAGCTTTCTCAACTCGTTTTTAAAAAAAGTTTAAATGTTATGTATTTATTTCTATGCCGTTTTTACGGCGCCATAAGCTCTGGAACATTCAATTTTTTATCATGATTTGGACTAAAGAAAGAGCAAATATATTTAAACAAAATTAAAAGACCTATGGTCAAAAAAAAAATGTTGATTTTATATGAAATGGCCCAATATTAAATTTTTAGTAAAATAATTGTTTTTAAGAATGAAAAATTTGGCTAGGTTAGAAGACGAACAATTATCATATTAATTATTCGATTTTAAATTTATTAAGGCAATTTGTTATTATTGTAATAATATGTCTTTAATAAATAGAATATCATTGCAATAATAGTAATTCAATACATAAAAATTAAATAATTTAAATATTAAATAAATAATTCAATACATTTAATAAAATCCGAGAGTATTTCAAAAACAATAAATAAATATTTTCTATTTAATAACTATTCTATAGTATTCTAAATTAATATATGATTAAATTTTTCTATCATGTTTATATTATTTTGTCTATAAAAAATGTCTATAAAATCTACTCAAATAATTGATTTATATTTCTGAAAAATATTATTATTTCGTATGGTATCATGTAATTATGACGTTAAAATTTAACGTTTATTTAATAAAGAAATGGCTCAAAGTTTACAACTAAAATCGTTATACATTAAATAAATCGCTGAAAATATTGTTGATAAACATTTGAACCACTTGTTTAAAATACTGAATAATATTATTTAGTTAATTAAGTAAATAGTTATTTATCTTATCTCATCTACTCTTATAAAGTTATCAACTTGTCGAAAATTTAAAAAAATCATGTATGAATTTTGTTTTACATTTGTGTGGTGAGCATTAAGGCGGCAAGTTTATCCATACTCTCTCTATAAAAAAAAATTTTTAGCCCTTTAAAAAATTTAATATATATTTTAAAACTATTCATTATTGACAAACAAACATTTAAATTTAGAATCGGTATATGTAACGTGGGTGAAAGTATGGATTATAAATAAAAATTAGTCAAGCTGTACCCACCTGGGCTACATACCCACTCTGTGTAATGAAATGCTTGTATCTCAATAAGTACTTATTCTAAATTTGCCATCAACCTTTTTATAAGAAAAGGACTAAAAATAGCTAATTCAAAATTTTGAAGAAAAAGAAGTCTTTTTTAAAATTTTTATTTGAGACAAATAATAAAAAACCCAGCACAGGGGGGTCGCGGCACATTGGGGATGTGATATAGTTGTGTCAAGTATAATAATATCTGACAGTGATTAATATCACTATCATAAAAAACGCTTCGATGCAAATCTTAAGATAGTATTTAATTTTAAAAAATTGTTGGATTATTCCAAAAGCTACATGATCTCCTCCTATTTCCTTATTTATATCCTGATTACAAGTTTTATGATTTATAAGTGTAATATATATAATAAAGGGAAATGGTGTTATTTTAAAAAAAAGTATGTCGAATCGAGTATTTTTACACAAAAATAGCATTCGGTAGCCATTTTCACCGTTAAGACAAAATGAAGTCCGAAAATGTATTATATTATCTTTAATTTAAGATATATATAAAAGTGTCAAAATTTCCGGAACATTTTCAAAAGTCAAATTGAAAAATTAAATTTTTTATGAAAAATTTGCGATTTTAAATCACCCCCTGTGGGCAGGTAAAGGGTCGCTTTTATATAAAAAATATAGCAAATGAAAGACATCAAGCATCTATGAAAAAAAAATTATATTGATTTTTTTATTTTTTAAAAAAGGTATGGCAGTTTTAAGTAAAAAAATTTCGAAAATTAGCGAATTTTAAATTTGTAATTTTTTTGGACATTTCCCCTATTTATAGAAAATGAGGGAATTTTTTTTTCAATTTTTGACGGTAATGTGTTTGACTAGATACGATTTGTGATTTTTTGGCGCAACGTTGAAAGAAATCGGTTCGGTGAGAGCTGAGTAAAAGTGGTGTAACAGACAAAAAACAACACATCATATTAAAACCAATACCTTCTCAGCTTCGCATCGAAGTTAAAATATGCATTTAAGATGGTCCAAAACATCGTGGCCTATCCTGTGTATATAGTGGACGTTCTGTGAAAATGAGAATTTTTTAAAAAGTTTTAAGATGTCACCAAACACGTTTTTCATTTCACACATCAACTATAAAACGTTAATGTTTAAAACATTTTTGTTTTCAAATTATCATTTCTAATTAATGGTTGTAATAATCAGACATTTTTGTTCATTGTTTAAGTACATAGATATTGGAGAAGATATGAATGTGCCAGATGATTTCACTCAAACTGAAATGAAAACTGGCATGTGGTGGCGTCATCTTGTATCAGGTGGAATTGCTGGAGCTGTCTCGCGAACATTTACTGCTCCTTTAGATAGGCTTAAAGTTTTTCTCCAGGTTAAAATTAATTTATTATTGTCACCAGTTTCTTATAAGTTAATAGCATTTAACTTTAAAATTAAATTTTTTGTAAAACTTTTATACCATTATATACTATAACAGGGACACACAAAAACACTTTTAATGAAACCCACCTATCCTTATGTATTTTAATACACTGAATCCAAATTGTATTTTTATTTATTTAAATTAGTTAAATAAAATTTTTATATCTATTAAATTTCACCATTAATTAAACTAAAGAAATTAGAAAACAAATTTTAAATATGTCATGTTCTCGAATATGATTGAAATTTTTTTTTGCAATTATGGAACACTTATCAATGTTGATATCTAACAGACATTAAATTTTTATTAAACTAATTAAGACATATAAAATTACACTAAATTCATATATCAATTTTATTTAGACTTATTAATAAAAAATGTTTAGGTTTATGGTAATCAACAAAGCAATATATCTTCATGTTTCAAAAATATGTTGAAAGAAGGTGGCATTAGGGGTATGTGGCGTGGAAATGGCATTAATGTGCTTAAAATAGCTCCAGAATCAGCATTCAAATTTATGGCTTATGAACAAGCCAAACGCTTAATAAGAGGATCAAGAACAAAAGACTTAACAATATTTGAAAGATTTTTGGCTGGATCACTGGCAGGAGGTTTTAGCCAATCATTGATTTATCCTTTAGAAGTATATTAAAAATATAAATACATTTTTAACAAACCAATTAATTTTAAAATAATTTTTTTTTAGGTTTTAAAAACAAGATTAGCTATTAGGAAAAGTAATCAATATAAGGGTATATTTGATTGTGTTCAAAAAATGTATTACCGTGAAGGTATAAGAAGTTTTTATAGAGGTTACATACCCAACTTACTGGGCATACTTCCATATGCTGGAATTGATCTTGCTGTTTATGAGGTAATGATTTAAATTTGCAATATTTTTTTTACATTAATATCTCTGTGAATATTAATTTAAGTGTAGAAAAATTGTATGACCTGCTTTAATATTGTATTAATATTATCTAAATAGACATTAAAGAATAACTACATTGCTTCACATAATGATGGGGAAAAACCTGGATTGCCTTTGCTCTTAGCTTGTGGTACAGTGTCTAGCACTTGCGGTCAAGTTTGTTCATATCCTCTAGCGCTTGTTCGTACTCGTCTGCAAGCACCACGTATGTCATAATAAATATTGATATAATTCTATATTAGTATATAATTTATGTCTGTGCCTTTTAATTTTTTATAGATTTAGAGGGACCTGATAGTAGAACAATGATGTCTGTTTTTAGAGAAATTTGGACTAAAGAAGGTATCAGTGGCTTGTATCGTGGCATAACTCCTAACTTTATGAAAGTTGCACCAGCTGTTAGTATAAGTTATGTTGTTTATGAACGATGTCGAGAAGGTCTTGGAGTTACCATGTCATAAAATTATTTATGAAGTATTTAATTTCTTCACTATCTTTCTATTACTTCCCTCAAATATTTTAACTGATATTTAAAATTTAAACTTTTTTAAAACCTATGAATTTCAATAATATTCTTTTAAAGCACTGTTAGAAGTATTAGGATAAAGAAGAAATTTATTGCCTCAAGTTTGGTTACATAACATTAATGATGTGTTGTTTTACAAACAACCATGATGTGTCATGTTATGTTTACCAGTATTAACAGCCTGCATATATTTTACATCAATATAGTATTTTATAAAATGTACAATTAGGAAAACATGATTGATTCTCTATTCAATTTTCTGGTATTATTTATTTTTTTTACAATCATTCCAATAAAATGTTTTTCTAATAATAATAATTTGTTACTAGATCAATGTTATATGATTTATCAAAATTTGTACCAAAATCTCTTTATTTAGTCAAATTAATTAGTTTTGTCCAAACATTTTGTTTCTTTACTGTTCATGAAAATATCTAACATTTTTAATTACCAAATTAATAATTTTATAAATTTAACTTAAGATAACTTTATTTTAATAAATTAAATAACTTGTTTCTCTCTTAAAACATATTGTTAAGTTTGTTCCTAGTGTCTTATGACATCTTTGTTTTGTAATATATTGTTACTTGTAAAATTTATGTTTGTTCGCCTTGTACAAAATAAATGTTTTCAATTTTGTATTCTAGGTTTGTCTATTATTCATATATACACATTTAAAATTAATTATTACCAATTTTTCAATTATGGATCCGTTTTTTATTCCATAATCAAATAGTACTAGGTAGAAAAAATAAAATACTGATTTTTAAATTCATTTATGTTATTATTTTTTTAAAACAAAAGCTAACTTTGAACAAAAATTTTGTAAAATAATTATTATAAAAAGTAATGGGTCAGAGACGAAATTGATTTCTACTTACTCTGCAGGTGATTGATTTATCATTGATCACTAGATTTTATCTAAATAAATAATAATTCAGAGATTTTTTTTTTTAGCTTATTTTAACTAGCATTTCTCGATTTTTATTGGTTAAATATTTTTTCAATCTTTCTCTTATTTTATATAAAGCTATTTAAAACTGAATTCTAATAGTAATATTAACTAGTAGTCTTAATTTTAAAAAATTAAAAAAAATTCATTATACAGAGTGATTTCCTGTTTAAACAAATTCATAAATATATTTGTAAAACTGCTTTGCTTTTGTTTAATGTATATATAATATATAATAAAATTAAATTTAAAAATATAAAATATTTCATAGAAATATCACTTCAAAATTAGGTAAGTAGTATATACTTAATTAAATGAGCAGTTAGTTGAGATTAATTATTTTATTTCATAAAATTTTCTAATTTCTGAGTTAACTTTTAACAATAATAAATTATAAAATCAATTCAATCACTTAACTTAAAATTTATCATAACACTCATAATTTAATGAAATTTTAGTTTCTTATATCTTCAACTTTTTAATAAATTTTCATAAATTATAATGATGTTTCATCTTGTAACAATTTGGCTGCAAGTTCATCTAAGAGCCATTGTACACTGCCATTTGTAGGTTTCACACAATTAGCTGGTAAATGTTCATTATCCTTGAGAATACGCTAAAAATATTAAAAAGTATTATTAATTAATATATAATAAATTATTTAACAATAGAAAATACCTTAATGATATCAGCTTTTGAACTTCCAGTCGCCACAAATACACAGTATCTAGCGTTGTTTAAAATAGGAAATGTTAATGTAATTCTATTAGGTGGAGGTTTTGGAGAATCAGAGATTGGTGCAACCCAAACTGATGTTTCATCACATAATTTATGCCCAGGAAATAAAGAGCATGTATGTCCATCAGGACCAACACCCAATATTAATGCGTCAAAGCGAGGTAATTCGTAAGGAGCAAAATAAACAGACATTTTTTTAATATAATCATTTGCAGCCTCATTAACTAAAATTAAAAAAATATATTATAACTATTGCTATCATTAATTCAAAAGTGTATCTTTCTACACTAAAACCTTATAAAAAATTTAATTATAAAATATGTGAATATACAAAGGGAGTCAAGAAAATATGACAAATCCAAAAACTTTTGAACCAATGCTGTAATTTTTAAAAAATTATTTTAATTGAACATATATTAAAAAAACGTAGTATTTCCGGAACATTTTCAAAAGTTAAGTTGAAGAAGTCAAATTGTTTAATGTATGTTTTAATTTTTGAATCCCCCCTATATAAGGGGAAATTGTCAGATTAAAAAAAAGCATGTTGGATGAAAGGGGTATATATAAAATATTTAGAAATAAAAATTTGTGTTAATCCGTACATTTTTCAAAAAGTTATAGTATTTTTAATCTGAAAACAAAATTGAAATTTCAACACAAAAATAGCATACTTTTAACTAATGCAACCATTTGTACATAAAAGATAAATCTTTAAGACATATTTTTTTAAAATTTATAGTACATAATAGAAGCTTAAATTTAACATATGTTTAAAGGACCCAGTGTTACCAGAACATTTACAGAATTTAAGTTGAAAAAATTGACTTTCGTAAAAAAGTTGCTATATTGAATACCCTTTATGGGCAGGTAAATAGTCAGATTATCAAAAAATTTATAAAAAATGAAAGGGAAATACGTAAGGTTTTAAAACAGTTAAAAAAAAAAAAAAAGTAAAAAATTTACTGATTTTAAAAATTGTAATTTTTTTTTAGATTTGCCTCATTTATATGAAATGAGGGAATTTTTTCAATTTTTAAGGACAATGTCTTCAACTAGAAACAATTTGTGATCTTTTGACTTATCATTAAAAAAAATTAGTCCGGTGAGAGTTGATAAAGTGGCGACAGATATATACAAAAAAAAAACATATTATAGTAAAATTAATACCTTCTCAGCTTAAAAAAAATTACAGTGAAATGATTATTGGATTTATGATGTCTTCATGACTTACCCTACATATATAAATATAAATAGATATATATTTAAATTACACAATAGTAAAAACACTAGGATTAAGGGATAGCATTTAACCATAGCATTTGGAAATGAATGTAACATTTCAAGAAGATTACTAGGATAATTTTTGTAAGACTTATAGTATTTTACTTAGTCATTACCTGAAAGTTGAGGATTTATCTTGATAAACTGATCCTCTGTTACAGGAAGATGGCCAATAAATTTATTTCTATATTGCGCATATGTTGACTCTGCATCATCAAATGGAACTAATCGTTCGTCACAAAAAAAAAATCTCCATTTAGACCAATCAGTTTCAACCTTGGCCAAATATTCTGATAAAAGTGAAACCACAGATCCTCCTAAAATTATTTGGGCTTCTAATAATTAAGTATAAAAAAAATAGTTAGAAACTTACCTGAGAGCCCAATTTTAAATACTGTATTTCCACCTTTATTAAGTACATCATTAGCAAGTTCCGAGAGATTCTTTGCTAGTTCTATTCCAAGTTTTTCTGTATTTTCATATACCGAAACTACTTTAGGAGTCATGATAGAAAAAATAATCTCACTGGTACGCAATTCGTAACCTTGAATTCAAATCTCGATAAAATTGTAAATGCCTAGTAATGTAGCTATACTACTGTAATCAATCAAATCAACATACTGCAACCGTGGAATAAATGATAACTTTACTTTAATATTTAGATAGATATTTGAGAGATTATTTCACTAATTATGAATAATCATTGTTGTTATGTTATGTGGATACAGACCAGAAGAGCTTATCAATAAATATTTTATCAGTTAATTCAATGACATGAAATATATCGATCAAAAGGTACTATAAACACGTTTTTTTTTAACTGTTACAGCATACATCCCGCCTAGTTAAAAGTAAAGAGTAGGCAATAATTCTACACAAACATAGTATAAATGTATGGTTGAGTTTTAAATATATATAGAGTGTTCTATATTTTGATAGGACAGTTATAAAATAAACACAAATTCCATTTATCTTAACATGAATATATTTTATTAAATGTAAAAAGACTTTTACATATAAAACGTGTTTTCTTTTTCTATATACATTTTGGTTAACACGAACATTTTGATATCTCTTTTTTAATACTATGATAACACACTGATATTACAGTGTAATATATAACATAGAGAGAGTAATCAGTAAGTAAGGAAACGGATTCTATTGTTCTCATTGTGTGTAACAATTGACTTGTTTCCTTATTTTCTGAATATTCTGTACATTTAAAACTTATATATATCTTTTAAAAATGACAAAATTTGACTTGACCACTTTTTTATAAAAATTGTCTAACAATAGTTATCCATTTAGTGATTGATAATATATAATATTGTAAATTGTTTTCTAATAATATACGACTACGTAGTAATTGTCAAACAACATTTTGGTAATGTTTATACAATAGAATTTTATGGCAATAAATTATGCTTTTTGCATTAAATTATTTCATGATTGTCATAGACTTTTATTTGCTATCATAAGTGTAAATATACTCATTTTGTTCAATTTTTGTTTAGATGCTTTTATATTAGAAAATGTTTAAGCCTATAATTTATATAAATTATAAAACTATCAATATTCGATAAAATTTAGTTTATTATTAACTCTTAAAAACTGTTTTAGCCAATTTCCCGAATTATATAATAATTTTTTCCATTTATTAATTATTTTACAAATTTCAATTTTACAAAAATATAATTTTTACGTGAGTAAAAAAATAAAAGTAATTTGAAATATTTGTCCGAGTTAAAAAAATATCTATGCTTATTACACATTATATTTTCTCATTTGTCTAAGTCGTTATTTCACTGTTAATGTTTAGTAGGTATACTGATATTATTTTTATGCGCATTATTTGATGAATTTGTTTTTTATAGTTTATATTAATCTAAAAACTCATTAGTTATCGCCTAACAATAACAGATGGCAAAATTAATATCAAACTATATTATATTGATTGTTGTATTAGACTAATCTAATGAAAAATCAATTTTTCCTGGTGGGCCATAATAATAATTGGTTAAAGGGGTGAGGACAAGTTGTTTGAATTAACTCTTATGAACTATGAAAAATACTAAAAAGAGTTATTTTGATTTGTCTTCTCTAATTAACATTACAACCTGACTTAGGAATCGATTATTACTTAATATCTGGATGCATAGTGTTAATGAATTTAAATGAGAAAAATTTGGAATAATTATTTTTTAAAAGTATTATTGAAAAAATAATAATACGTAGTTCTGTATAACAACCCTTTATTTTAAGTAGTGTCATTTTTTTACTTACAAAAAGTATTTCTCGGGATATATTTCAAACTCAATTGAACTCTGATTGCTTTTTTTAACAAATAAAATCTCAATTTGACGGCATGCTTTGAAATGTATTAAATAAACTATTTGTAACTACATAAATTCAATCTTTGATTATTTTATAAATCATTGATATATCAATTTAGTCTTAATATAATTTCGAGTTTCAAGATTTTGTTAATTTAGTTGAAGATTTGATTTACAGTGAATAATAATATTAATAATATTCTTTTTCTTGCTGTTTCATTTTGAGTTATTACTTTTGGCGTCCGCGTGGGGTACAAAAGGCTCAATTCCCCCTCTTCCTTTAAATTCTTTGCTTGGTAAATTATAATATAATCACGTGTGCTATAAAATTTTGCAAGATAAAATTTTTTAATTTAAAGACAAAAAATTTATTTCTATTAAATTATTTGATGATTACTTGGATTAAAAGCATTATTTTTTATAGATCAATGACATGTAGGTTTAATTTTTATTTAATAATTTTATAAAAAATACTTAATTTTATATATAATACATAAAATTACTAAATAATCTTTTATTAATAATTTTTTTTCTACGAAGCCCATAAGCACTGATTAGAATAGCAGTATTTTTAAGGATGTTAAAAAATATTATACATTTATATAACAACATATATACTTTTTAACTTTTTGGAAAGTTTAGTAGTTATCCGAGAGGGCTAAGCTCCTTCTTGTTGGGCTTATGGCGAGGTCAGTGAAACTAAATATTTAAAAAAATATTATAAAAACATCATTCACGTCGATTAGACTTCAATCAGTCAATATAATAGTATATTAATTGGACAAAATCTTTTAATTATATATAGACCCAGTTTAAAAAACTTATTAAAAAATTTAGAGTGGTTTCTCTTTTTTCTTTTATGTATAATGACTTTTTGGGTGTTTGAGCTAATGTAAACAATGTTTCTAGGTATCTATTAATAGTTATACAGGTAAAATATAATCAATGCTATTTTTAATCCTCTTAATACTGTACTCTTCTATTAAGTTGATCAATCATTGCTTTCATTTTTTCTGACACTAATACTATTTCTGCGGAATTTCAATTGAAGTCTTGTTGATTTTAATTATATTATTTTTCTAATAAGCGACGTATACTATTTTGTTGATTATCGAAAGACTAAAATATGCAAGTTGAAACACTTGTGACGCATGGAAATTAAGTAAACATGTCTATACTAACTTCTTTTACACACAAGTACCTATATAAAGATTAACCGATGTTCATTAAAACAAGAATCAAACGCTATGCAAAATATGTACTTGTACACTTTTTTAACGGTCATATTGATGTTCGATCAATTAAAAGCTTCAACAGTTTTAGAGGTCGTTCAGGGTATATCCAATGGTACAAATGAAACATGGGAAAAAGTCGGCAATCAAATAATAGCAAATCCAGAGAGACAAGAGCCGAAACCACTAAAAGAAATTTTGCAACAAGATTTGTCTGTTATTAACCAAATAGTAACTAATATGTATATTAAAGTAAAACACAGCATTATGTGCCGTAGTTTGAGATATTTAATGCCGATCGCGAAGTTAAGTAGCTATATTTTAATTACAGTTATGTCAAATAGAGAGGAAACAGAAAAAATAATTCGCGAAACCGTTTTAAATGATTTAAAAAATACTCCTACCATAATTAATGATTTAGACGATATACCAGCAAAGTATATTCCTACTGACGACTTGGCAATTGAATTTGGTGAATTATTTAAAGAGGAAATTGAAAACTCCGATGAAGCTTCAGAACATGCAGTGACTGTTGGTACAAGAGCATTGGAGTGTGCTCAAGAAGGTTTTAAAGAAACAGCATCGAAAATAAAGTTCAAATTGTTTGCAGCTAAGGTTGCAAGAGAAAAAATCAAAGAATTAGATGCCACTATTAAATTCAATAAAGAAATGTTAGATATAAAATTTGAGAGGAAAACTGCTGAGGAAAAAGAAGCTTATAAAAATCAATTTAAGAAACAAGGTGTAGTAGTTTCGGAAGTCATAAATGATGACGGAGAATTAGACATTGATAGTATGCTTGATTCATACATAGAAACTTCAGAACAAGAGTCTGAAAACGAGGATCAAGCTAGTAAAGTTATTGATAGAATTGCTGGAAAAACAGCAATGAAGAACCGAAAAAAAATAAATAGAGATTACGTTATTCTCGCAACAGACAATTTAAAACAAGCCATGAATAATATAGAATCTTGGATTAGTGATGTAGAACCATTTAATATGTTTATCAAAGAACTAAAAGAAAAATTAACTATTAATAGCAAGTCTAAAGTAATAATGTTAGATGTATTGAAATCTGAATATGACTCGATGTTTAATTTCTACTCTAACGAGTGTAATAGTAACACAGATTTTACTAAAATTTACGAAGACTTAGATCAAGATTTAGTATCAGTTATAAACGCAGAAGGTGAATATTCAATTAATGAACTAATTGGGCATATTTCAGTGTTAAACTACGAGTTAAAACAAGATCTTGACTCTTTGCCAACAGAATGGAAAAACTCAGAAAATTTTAAGGCATAGTTTTCAGTCATTATTACAATCACATTTTTGTAATCTGAAAATAATTATTAATTTTAATAGGTTTTTTTATTGCTTAAATAAAAGCACAATCAAAATAAATTTTTCCCTATTAACTTTTATGTATTATATTATTTAATTTGTTTTGCTAATAAATTAATTTCATGGTAACAAATGATACTTGAAGTTTGATTCATTGTGTATATTTCCTCAAAGGTTAAATTTGAATATTAAAGTATTAATGTTTATTATAAATAGATACATGATGTCTAAGAAAAAAATAATACGTAAAAAGCATCTGTGTATGGGCAATGAGATTTTTTCTTGAAATTTCATTACAAATTAATAAGTTACTTTACTAATTACCTTAGTGACATATAATAGCTAGGTGTACTAAAAATTGGACAAGGCTTTAATATTTAACATTCTTTTAATTTTCATTTATTAACCAAACCGGGACATAAAGAAATTTGTATGACACAATTATATTTATCAAATAAGATATGGGATAGAAAAAGGTTATCTTTTTAATATTTTAGAATATAATTTCTAAAAATTTACCTCATTTATAAAAAAACAGCCCAGTTTTTATGAAGCCTGTAGCATGATTATTTTATGTTCTGTTATATAGAGTCGCATTTAGAAATTTATAATGAGGAGAACATAACAATTTTCAAAGACAAGCTGTCATGATCATTTATTGCTCATTATTTTTTAGTTGTAAAAAAAAAATCAACTGAAATTTTCATGACAATATAGCTTTGCTAATAAAAAGATACGTACACTAGAAAACCTCTACTTATTAATGTAACCCTATTTGCTCTGATGGTTCCTGAACTTATGCAGAAAATGGACTACACTGAAACCAACCTTTATTGAGACAGTAACATAATCCTCACCGTAATAATCATAATTATTTAAAAATTCATAAATCGTATAGTGGA